GGTGTAGGAAAGGAATGGTTTATGTCAGAGTACTGGCAAAAGATGCGTGTGTGGAGACGTAAGGAATCCTACAAGAGAAATGCTTAGTGTCGTCTGCCTGCCAGATACAGGCTGGGTGAGACTTCATGGAGAGAGTCACTGTAGCACTGGTCCCAACAACAGCAATGACAACGACCAACTATTGTCACCATCTATAGTGCCGGACCTTCCTGTAAAACGCTTTTTAGGCACCCTGTAATTTAACAGTGACGCCCTTGTCCTGGCAAGAAACTGGTTTGTTTTGTTTTGTTTTGTTTTTTGTTTTTGGGGTTTTTTTTTTGTTTGTTTGTTTGCTTTGTTTGTTTTTCGCTTGACACATGAAACAATCAAAATTTTGGTCTAGAAGTTCACTTGCAAAATCTCAGAACCAGCATTTGAACCCATATGTACGTGACCATACAACTATGATCCTTTTATGGACCCTGCTTCACTGTCTTGCTAGATTCGGAAGTTTCCGTTCCTTCAGTAAGACATGGGCTGATGCCTGCGTCTCTAGTGTGTGCTCCAGGCTCAGTTTGTCTGAATGCTTTTCCTCCTACCAAGCAGAAGCTATGTTTACCCAGAGGTGTACCCTGACAGGGCGCTCCTCTTTATCATTGTCATTTAATAAAATCTCTATGGCCCGAAGCATTCATGTCTTGAGAAAGTGGGAGAAGCAGTGATGGAAGAGTATTTTGGGAAGAGTGAGACCAGAGGTCATAAAATGAAGTGTAAGAAGAACAAGTGAAGGCTGACAACAGAAACTAGGGGAATCTGACACCTTTCTTCCCTTGCGGAAGTCATTTTCATCCTTTCAAACTTTCAGTGATTATATATTCTGGCTGTGTGGTTTTTTTTTTTTTTTTTTTTTTTTAAGAAAGAAAGCATGAAGCAACAGTCAGCAGGTTCCTGAGCCCAGGAGATTTGTCACTGTGCTGGACATGCCTAAGACTTCAGAGAAAAAAAAAATGTGTTAGATTTTCAGTGATCCCTCTTGTATAATCCTCAGCCATTGCTGCTCCTGCTTCCCTGTCCTCCCAAAGGGAACTCCTCTTTTTCTTTTTTCTTTTGTGCTTCAGGATGAGCATACTACAAGGAAAAGCAAAGACCAGACTTTGGATCCCAGCAGACACATGTACACAACTTCAAAATGAATTTAATGATAATCAGAACTGTGGAATGGTAGATCTCAACACGGCAGGCTCATACCGGGAAACTTTACATTTAAAGAAATGTTGAAGAAGTATATTCTTGATATTTTCTCCCCTGCCAAGTTTTTGTTTCTGTAGATTGGTAATGGCAGCGCATACAAGGAGGGATGCTGGTTTCAGGAATCTGTTAGGTAATAGTTTCAACTTAACTGACGGCCCTTGGGTGAAATCTCTGAGTCTGTTTATCCAAATTTAGATGGCATATTCAGACCCATGTCATCTAGCTGTTGAGTGCATATTGCTGGACAAACATTAAGTTTCTAAAGTAGGATTCTTTTTTTTAATTTATTTATTTATTAAGGATTTCTGCCTCCTCCCCGCAACCGTTTCCCATTTCCCTCCCCCTCCCCCGATCAAGTCCCCCTCCCTCATCTGCTCAAATAGCAATCAGGGTTCCCTGACCTGTGGGAAGCTCAAGGACTGCCCACCTCTATCCAGGTCTCGTAAGGTGAGCATCCAAACTGCCTAGGCTCCCACAAAGCCAGTACGTGCAGTAGGACCAAGAACCCCACTGCGATTGTTCTTGAGTTCTCAGTATTCCTCTTTGTCCGCTATGTTCAGCTAGTCCGGATTTATCCCATGCTTTCTTTACTCCACAACCTTATCATGAGACCATGAAAAAGAAAAAGGAATTATGAACAAGGTAAGCAGAACATAGGGAAGGATGTTCACCGTTTCTCAGTTACTGAGAACTGCCCTTGCCACATCTAAAGTAGATTACACAGTGAGAAGAAGTATGCCAAGAATCCAGTTGTTTTAAAGAGTTTAAATTTGGTCAGTAGGCAGGAAGCTGGCTACCAGGGAGATAGGTGGTGGCAGGAAGCTTTAGTGGAGCTTTTTTGGGTGGGGAGAGGTGGTATTGTAAGACATTGTTCGTCTTTCTCTGCAAACAGTGGGTTTGGCCTTGCCTCGAGGTTTACAACACGTTGCTAATCTTTTGTTCCATAGCATTTATTTTTTTGCAGGGTAACCATAAAAATCATTAAGATTTTCAATAAAGATAAAAGAGTCAGGAGAGTGTATTATTCTTTGTCTGCTAAACATAGCTTTCTCCGTCCAGATGTTTGTGATGTTCTGTAGCATTCAAAGCTCCCGACAGTAGGAATTGCACATGGTTGGTGAGAGAAAATTCCACAGTTTTACAAGCCACACACTCTCAAGGGCTTAAAAGAAATAAGACTCAGGGCAATAAAGGGGACTCAAGACATGGAAAGATATACTTTGGCTTCGGGACGCATGTAAGCCTGGTGGGAAAGAGAGAGCAGTAGTAACTGGAAAGGTAGAAAGAGTTACAATTCCAGGAGAGCTGGGAGTGATTTGGATTTATGGAAGAAAGGAACCTTGGGAAATCAAAAATAAAAGAAACTAGAATTCTGGGGAGATGGCTCAGTGCTTAAGACCTCTGACAGCTCCTCCAGAGGACCTGGGTCCTCTGCGCCCTCATGGCAGCTTACAGCTGTCTGTGACTCCACTTACAGCAAACCTGAAACCCATGCATGTAAAAATAAAATTTTTAAAAAGCATACAAAATAAGCATGTAGAAATCTTAACAACATATTTTTGCAGAGATAATTATGTGAGGGATATCATAGACAAGGCCAGAACTGTTCTCAGAAGTAAGAATTGCTAACACTTTTGATTCTGATGAAGAGTGTCTTAGTAGCTACCTAAAACCAATAGGCTACATCATTGTGTTCCATTGGGTAGTGTCAAAGATACTTGGAATAGTACTTAAAGTTGACGCAAGAATGTTTTGTGCCATTGTAACATGACACTGTAATCTACAAGGTTCATGCTCAAAATACATGAAATTGAATTAAATAGAAAAGAATCTCAAAAGAAAATGCATAATAGTTTAAGCTTATGATTTTGCATTGGCCATTTATATAGTTGTCCTCATGTGGCCTGGGCGGTAGGCACAGGTTAGACCTGCCTTTTGAGGCTAGTGTCTAAAGAATCCTAAACATCTAGCATGTTCAAAGGAATGAGTAGCTCATACTAACCTCTTTTCCTTCCAGTTAAGATGTCTTTAATTTACTTGAATGAGAAAGGAAGGGAAGGGACCCAGCTTTCCTGTGGCTGGTTTTAAAACTGCCGTTTTTACATGAAAAATTTTTACCTTATTTCTTGAGACAAATGCCATGAGGTTGTGGTCTCCATGTTAATAGTCCGTGTGTGAGGAAGAAGGGTCCAGCAGGTACTGAGGCAGTTTGTCCGCGTCAGTGACTCACAAGTATCTTAGTAGACATTGTCCACTTCTCGGATCCATGGCTAAAGAAATGCTGAGGCACTAGGAAAGAAATCAGAGGACAGCCATGATGTTTAGAGAGAAAGAAATTTGTACTGCTGACAAAGTGCAGTTATTTTGTTTGGAAAAGAGACGTCTGAAGGCAATTGAATGCTGGCCTTCCTGACTAGGAAGGATCACTTGGAGGCGAATGACCAGATTTCCTTCATTGCCAAGGTAAAAACCCATCTCCCTCAGTGGCAGGGCGAGCACAGCATACAGGAAGAGCAATGCACAGAGCTGAGGCTGCTTAATCAAAGGAATCCATCACCCCATTGTGTATGAAGGCTTGCTTGAAGGCAATGGGAATTCATATCTGCACTTTCTGTGTTGAAAAAGCTACTTCCTGCAGGAGCAGGGATGAATTATATGAATTTGGTCTTTTTAACCCATGGAATCTGTGATTTATCCTTAAATTACATAAGGTAAAGATGTCAGGCAATTATTTTGAATTATAGCCTCATACCCTGGTGCTGCCAAGTGGAGTTACTTTCCAATAATGTTGAGGAAGTCAGTGACAGAGACATACATTTATTTCATAGGTCATGAACTCAAATAACTACAGGGTTCTCCTGGCCTTCGAGAGGAGCAAGCTAAGAGCAGCACACTAGTTAATGAAGTTGTGAGCTAGGGGGTGAATGCCCCATCTAAGCTGGCCACCACGGCAGAGATGGTCTTAGAGTGTGAACAGATCTTTGGCTCTCCAAGAAAAATCTAGAAATCTAAACACTTAGGTGACTGACTAAGATGTGACAAGATGGTTTCATTGGAGTCCTCTGCAGGTATAACGTGGCCCTTCTATGGTTAGAAGGCCTGGGTTTGTCCTTCACCAGCTCATGCCTCTGTCATTAGCAAACAGAACACGAGTGGTCGGACTCTGGAGTGATGGAAGTTTATTTGCTAAGGTTGCCGACTCTGTAAATCTTTGACCTCTGGTCCCTTCCTCCTTGCTCCTGATAGTAGATGGCTTAGGAAGTAGGAATTTAAAGGCCTTACTTGTTCCTGAGGCTGTTGAGATGGCTCAGTAGGTAAAAGTGTGTGGTACCAAGCCTGATGATCTGAGTTCAATCCCTGGAATGCCCATAATGGAAGCAGAGAACGTTCTTCCATAGAGCGCTCTCAGACTCCGCTTATGTGCTGTAGCGTGTATGTGCCCTCCCATGTATATACACACATAAACAGACGTAATAAAGAAATTATTTCCTTAGCAATGTGATTGTATTTAGTAAAACTGTCAGATGCTTCGAGTGAGAAGCAGCTCTCACTGCTGATGCTGTCCACTGTTCAACGCACATGTCTCTGCGGTAGTTTGGATCTCTGCACTAACATTTGTGTATAACATTGGGTGCATGAGGCATGCTTGATTTAAACATTAACACTCTTGCCATTTGGTGACATGCTTTTCTCTTACAAAAATGATTGTTTTAATAACAATTCCGTGTAGGATAAGGAGAGCTGTATTTCTGAAATCCTCTGCCTTTCAGACTGGAGAATATGCTACTGATGAGGAGGAGGAGGAGGTCGGGCCCACTCTTCCTGGTGGTGACATGGCCATTGAAGTCTTTGAGCTCCCGGAGAATGAGGACATGTTCTCCCCATCAGACCTGGACACGAACAAGCTCAGTCACAAGTTCAAAGAGGTGAGCTCTGGCCTGCACAGCGTTTGCTTGTGCCTGCTCCTTGCATGGTTAAATGTGTTTTTATTTGTGGAATGAACCAAGAATCATCTGTTTCCTGACTAAAGTTTGTCAAGAACATTGTCTGAGTCTTAAATATGAGAGTACAATGTTAGCAGGTTGCATTCTACTATCACCAATTTTGATGTTTGTCACCTGTCGCAGTAGTAGTTTGTAACTTTGGGTGTCATTTCCGGACACATCCAGGTTACAATGTATATTTTTTACTTTTACAGATGCGTTGGCACGTGGCCATACTCTCTTTCTTCTAGTGCAGTTATTTCTCTAGAAAGCTGTTTTTTGTTTTCCTGAAGTAGACAGATTTCTAATAAGAATAACGTGCCCAAAGGGTTCCATTGAAGAGTTCAGTGAGCAGACCTTGAACAGATAATATAACCACCAAGGAACGGGGACAGCAGGAAGCCATCACCCTCCTCTACCCCAAAGAATCCATTCGATACCCGCAGCTTTGCAAGATGCAGCCCTGCCGAAAATTGCATCGAGGTTAAGGGTGATGATTACCTATCCCGCCCACTGTCTTCCTCCTGCTGAATCCTCTTCATCCACGCCCAGGCAAGGGAGTCTGCTAGGCTAGTCTTGGGACTGAAGAGCTTGCTCTTCTGTCCAAGAAAGGCCCGGATTGACCCTTAGTGTGCAGTTAGAGAACCAGATAGATTTTTCTCCCCCAAGTCTGGTATTGAGGGATTCTCTTAATTACTTTAAAAATATCCATTTTGTTGCTTTGGCAAAGCCACAAGCTGTGACTACCTTACCCAGTCTTACTTTAGGCCAGCTATGTTTTCCAATTTGATTCTATGATCATGATTCTTCAACAGATTGTGCCCTCTGTGTTTGCACAGTTCTTGCCAGTTAGTTAGCAGTTAAATACTCACTAATTGGCATCAGGCATGTACTGAGAATTCATTGTATAGTGCGCCTGACTTGATTTCTTCACGTAATTGACACCATGGTCAGCACATATATTAAGGGTTGTTTCCTCTGCTCAGAAGGCTTTGCCATTTTCTTCAGATGTTAGCGCCAGTGACTAGTAAAGAAAGTCCATCTTAACTTTCCATCTGTTTATTTTCTCTAACAATTTCATGCATGTACACTATATACCTTGATCCTAGCCACCCAGTTCACCCCTCCCGTTACCCTCAGATCCCACCCAGGACTATCACCCCGTCCTATCTGCATGTTGTTTCCTTTGGGGCCTGAGGAAACACAGGTTCCCGTTAGTGCTGCCTGCTGGAGTGTTGACTGACCTGGTCTTAAGATCATAACCATAACTGTAGTGGGCTCAGGAGTGCAATGACCGTGTCATCTGCAGATGACAGCATTTTACAACATTCCTCTGGCTCTTGTGTTCTCTTTACCCCTTATTCCTCGGTGTTCCCTGAGACCTGTGTGGGGAGGGGGGATTGAGAGGCCTCGTTTGGGCCTGAGCATTCACTGGTACTGGGAAGTCGCACCTAGGGCCATTGACATTAGCCCTGTGTCTACCGCTGACCTGTGCATCTCCAGGCCAGCTTTTCTCTGTAAAGTTACGTTAGTCTCATCTCATTCAAGGAAACGGGTCACTTTATTAATTCCCTCTTATTTTATTGTACTCAAATTAGTAAGTTGATTTGTGGGCAAATGACATCTTTCTTATGCTAATACTCTTTTAATTCAAGTTTATAACAATATGTGCTTAGAGTGTTTTCTCCAAACCCTCAGAATTGCGCACACCCTTCACTGTTGCCTGACTCCCCAGCTGTAGGCAACGGAAGGAGTGACTGCCATAACTAAAAACTGTTACAGAGACTGTCTAGCCTCAGTGTGAGGGAGACACTTCCTGTGTCAAACACGACCTGCCTCAAGTGGCTTCATCGTTTCTGAAGATAGGGAGTTCTGATCCTGAAATTCTGTCATATTGAGTTTTGTGCATTTTGTGGAAAAAGTCTTTCATTCATTTGAAATTGCTTGTGAATTTTTTTCTGTGATAATTTCATGTGTGTATGTAATGCATCTGTCACTTTCCCCACCCGTCACTCCTGATTTTCCATAGACTCTTCCTGTCGCCCTTAATTCCTTACAGTAATCTTCTCTATACTCTGATTTTGTTTTGTCTTGTGTCCCATGGGATTTAACGAGGGCCCTGTGACTCTGGTTTAGAGCTAGCTATCAGAGCCTGGTGTGCTCACCAGTGTGCACACAGCTAGAGGCTCTGGCTCTCTCTCTCCCAGAACCTGGTGCTCCAGGAAATGAGCATAAGCAGTAGGGTTGGTCAGCCCCTCTCCTTCCATAGCTGACTCTTGTGGCATGTTTTACTCTCTTGGCTTTTTGAGGAGCCACCACTTAGCTCTCAAGTAAATCACACATGGAGGCTTATTCTTAGTTCTGAATGCCCGGCCTTACCTTGGCTTGTTTCTTGCCAGCGTTTCTTAAATTATCCTGACTACCTTTTGCCTCTGCGCTTTTACCCTTCTCTGCATCTGTATACCCTTCTTTCCTTCTTACTCCATGACTGGCTGGGTGGCTGACCCCATGTCCTCCTCTCCTTGTTGTCTTGCTCTTCATTCTCTCTCCTCCCAGAGTTCCCCTGTTATTTATCCTCTCTGCCTGCTAGCCCCACCTTCCTTACTCCTGTCTTGCTATTGGCCATTCCTCTCTTTATTAAACAAATCAGGTGTTTTAGACAGACACAGTAACACAGCTTCGGAGTTAAATAAATACAGCATAAACAAAAGTCACACACCTGAAAATCTTATTCCTCCACAGCTGAGTCCACTGATCTGCCAATTTCTGAAAGGTGTCCATGTTAAAGTCAGCAACTGCCCTTTATCCATCCTTATAATCCTGTCACTTCTAGTTTTATGTATTTTAACTTTCTTATTAGCTGCACTTACAGTCAGCATTGTTACCCCATCCTATTTATTTACTTTGCCCCAGTTCTATTTTGGTTAATAGTAAAACTCATCACTGGGTTTCTTTTGCCTGACATTCCCTTCATAGCATCTGAGTTTGTTTATTTTTATCCATTCTGTATACTTTTATTCAAATGTGTTTTCTGTCAGCAGCCTAGTTCCCAACCTCACTGTTAAATACATTATTATGGGAGTCTTTATGTGACTTCATTAGTGATTATTGTCCATTTATGTTTTCTTTAAATGCCTGTTAGAAATTTTGCCCTCTTGGCTTGATAGTTATATTCCTTTTTCTTTTTTCCTACCTGTCATCATAAATATCAAATTTTTATCTGTTGCCTGAATGTTATTTTTTTTTTATTTTACTTTCCCAGTAGTTTGAGTCAATTTTAAGTATAATATAGAAAGTAGATCAGTATCAGTAATCATTAGCAAAATGATAACTCTAGCATATTACCTGTGAACTCTTCTGTGGCCACCTGTCTTGTGTTTCAGGAGTCTGAGCTTGGGATGCTGACAAGTCTGCCTGTTACAGTGGGGTTGTCTCCAGCTCCCTCCGCCCTTACTATGATGAGACACTTTTGCAGGGTTCATTTACTCCTGTTTCTGTGGCTCCCTTCCTACCGTCAGCGCCAGAGGTTCCTGTCACATGGCCCAGAAGTTAAATTAGCAGTCAGGAGGTCACAGCTTCAGGGTGTGGAGCCTGCTAGCCTGATTTTCCCCCAGGTGTGCACTTAGCAGGGTTGTGTGGGAAAGGTGAGGACCAATTACAGACTGGCTCCTTCCTGGTAGCTGGCATTCCTCCTCTGCAGGTCTTGACCTTTGCAACATCAGAACCCCCATGTGTTCTGTTTTTAAGAATTCATTCACAACCAACCTCCCTTCCTTCCTTCTTTATATTTTTATTTTTTTTAGATTAATGAATGGTAGCCTGAAGCACATAGATCCAAATTGCTTTCAGGAGAGGAAGGACAGAGCTTTGTTAGTTTGCTGTGCAAACCCAACAGAAAGTTTCCCCCTACCTAATTCGGCCATGCTCGCCTTGGTGTATTTATTAATACTATCATCTGCTTTCCTGGGGCGTGTTGATTTGTTCATGTGCCAGCGCCCGACCACGTGTGCTCAGTTGGTTGTCATACTGTGTCGTTGTGATGGGCAGGCAGTTAGACCCGACCCTCAGAACTGCGCCTCTTGCCGGCTCCCACTTGGTTAGCATTCTCGCTGACGTCACTTTGGAAATAGTCTGTGATTTCCACTCTCTCTGTTTTATTTTCATTTTGACTTGCATAACTGGAACAATGGTTTTGAATCTGTAACTTTATTAATCATTTTATTGAATTGTGATCAGATACTGTTTTTTTCAAGTAATTTTTTGAAAAATGATGCTTTTATTGTAGATTAATATGGGTGTTTGTGACTAAATTGATGTTTTAAGTGTTATGAATCCTTATTCATTTTTCTCAAACCTTGTAATTAATATGATTTAAAGTTAATTATACCTCCATATTATTTTTGTCTATTTCGATGTTATATTAGAAGCACATGAAATTTAGCAATAATTTCCCTTTTCTTTTAGGTTATACTTTGATGTTAATATTTGACAACTTTGTTGTAGTACCAAGTGTTTACCTATATCTAACAAAGCCTGTTGAAACATTTTCTTTTATTGGAATGTAAAAAATATACAATGTTACACTCTGTATCTAAGATTATTACTAAGATAATTTTTTCAGTTTGAACTTACTATAATAGTTACTCAAGGTGTTTATTACTATGCTTAAATAATTTTATGCTTTATGTTGCTTTTATATTTGTTGGCTGTTAATATAGGTTATCTTTAAGGCTTTAAAACATATTCTCTTTTCATCATTTTAAAAATTAAGAGCAAAATTACCATTTGCATTCAGTGTATGAAGATGTTTGATAAAATCTTGAATTTTAAGAAATTTGTTACACTTTTAAAAGATTTAAAGTAGCTTTATAATATATTTGTAAATAATTATGCTCTTCCTTTTTTCCTTTAAAAGTATTATTTTCTAATTTTTGGGTTTTTTT